TTGGTATAGAGTATTTTTCTGGGTATAGAAATCGTGATTAAAATTCTAGTATCATGACATCATTCTAAATGTCCCTTAGGCAAGGGCACAGGTACAGCATGCACCAAACGTGGGTTTTTTCTGTTTAGAACAAACACTGCGTGAAAACACCAGTTCTCACAAAAGAGAACAAGGGTTCTGAGAACCACGGTGCTCTTACTTTCCAGCTAATATTTTTGTACGTTTGCATGTGATCAAGTATGAAAAGCAATCAGCAAGCAAGCAATGAGTGAAGCCATACCAATGAGGATAAAGGCCAGACCGATACCGAAGGTCAGGATGTATCCTCGTAGGGGTTCATTGTTCTTGCCGTAGCCTTTGGCAAACATTTGCAGGCCAGGATAGATGTTGTCCTTACACAAAGCCTGCGGAAACAAAAGCCTTTGTGTTGTCTCACTGGAGTTTAAGCTGTTTATAATCAAACGCTATAAGAAAAACTAATTAAATAATTTACATTTTTCCATCATTCAATACTGCAATTTATTATATACAGTACTTTAAAGCTTGGATCTGATCTTACCTGAAAAACTTTAGGCGCACTAACTAAAGAGGCCAGTGCTGAGGATAGAGTGGCAGAGAAGATGCCAGCAGTGATGATGGGCCCAAAACCAGAAACAAGGCTCATAACCTGAACAAAAGATTACATGTAAATTGAAAAGTTAGATGTCTACATTAAAAAACCATTAACATTCATGTTCTGATAAAGTTGTTTTTTTAATATTTATATTCTTTTACACTCATTTGATACCTGGAAGTCCCTATGCAGTCCATAGCGGCAGTTATCCTCATTCTTGCAGGTAGAGAAGTCATAGCCAAATTTGCAGGCAGCAGTGGAGCAGTTTGCCATGGAGTGAGAACTGATTGTGTCATTCACATTTCCACTGGCATCTCTCAAAATACAGGAGCCTAGTTTTTAAAAAGTATTATCCACATATTAGATTTTGTATTTAAAAAGGATGTGACAGCCTTGCAAAAATGCAGGTACTATACACCACCTGTTGAAATAGCAACACCCAGGTAGACTATCCCTGTGATTAATATGGCTAGAAGGGTCCCTTTGGGGATGGCCATCTGTGGGTCCTGCAACAACCAATCACAACAACATTTTAAGATTACAATATATAACTGGATACAAGGCTTTAAGATGAGTACATCAAATCTTACAGCCAATTCAACGCTATGAGTTCCGTCTCTATTCCAAAGTTGTTTGGTAAATTGTTTTCAACAGCCTTAATCAGTGGAAGCATAGTCATATTCACCTGCACAGTACAATCTACAAAGTAAACCTTTACTTGGTTTGACACTATATCAACATTCATCACATGGTTGCACATGACTTACAGCAAGGTCTCCTGAAATGTTGGCTCCAGCCAGAATACCAGTGGCGGCGGGGAAAAAGATGGCAAACACAGAGAAGAACGTTTCTCCTCGGAAGTCTGGAC